TGCGAGCACACAATTTTATTCGGTCGAACTGTGTGTGAATGATATTATTGTATTTGCCCATTATTACTGCCTTCAGTATCGTCATTATCATTGTTAGTATTATTATTTCACCTGTTCAGATTATTCCATCCTCCATTCATCTCATTAATTCTATAATTACTACCGACATTGGAACTTTTGGTGTGAAATCATTGTGTTTTTACGATGCAATCGATGAAGATCATGAAAATTCGCTCGTTTCCTCATTTGCACATCATTTTAGTTGAGCGAAAACTGCAATAGCACAGCTAGAACGAATGATCAATAGATGAAATTAAGTTAGATCAATGAATTTAGCAAAGAATTGTTCCGAATTCGAAAACCCATTATATGATTCTTTTCCGTTTTATTATCACTATCATTAGGATAATAATTCTTCATGTTATCAGCATTATTATTATTATTATTTAATCGTACACATTTGTAAGCATTGTATAGTGATTGATTCAGTCTGTATGATATTGTTACAATTTACCCTTTTCATTCATTGCACACTCCTGAAATTTGATCATATCTTTCTTTTTGTTCCTTTCGAAACTCATCTATGTGCAGCGTAATCATAATTGTGTGAACTAATGTGATCATTTTGCTGTATTTCTTATTGAATACCGTTTTATGGAATGCATCTTCTTCGAATGAAGTGCCGGTTTCATTTGAAATCGATAATTTATCGGATTAGCTGATGACTTATCGATAATATTTATAATTTATCGATAATTCAGCGGATTAATTGACAAGTCACTAAATACATCGATAATTTAACGGATTGACCGAGAAGTCCTCAAGTTTCTGTCGATAATTTTTGCACGTTTCAGAGTGATTTGAATACGATTCTATCATTCGACTCACCCGACGACGACATAATCCCCAAAGAGCTACAACAAATGCCGTTTCCGGATAGCGGTGATCCATTCGTGCCTGGTCCTTCGCATGTTGATTCGGTCAGTTTCTGTTCTGTTGAATATTAATCTAATTGATTCACATTCAATTTTTATTGTGTTATAATCATATCACCTCGATTATAACACAATAAAAAACTGAATACCTGGATTGCACATCACCTTGATTACCTGCATTGGCCAGGTTATCAAACGTTTGTAACGTTGCTGGCAACAATGCTCGCGTTTCCGTGCGCATTGTTTTAGCCTCAATCTACGCCACCAGCTGGCTAGGCGAGCAGGCCAACCGAACACAGCCGAGTAATTAA